AGAGAGAGAGAGAGAGAGAGAGAGATGGATAGATAGTGTAGGAAGGAGCATTATATAGTTTCATTTATTTAATTGTTCATTTTCCTTTTTTCGTTTTGTTAATTTGGTTAATCGAGTTGTTATTCTACTGATTATTCCCTTTCTGGATTACAGTTTATGGAGGCTATGGTAAGTTTGGGTGTTTTTGATGTGATGAAACAGTAAAGCCTTCAGTCTTATAATGAATATTTTGGTTTGTATTTACTTAACTCGTATTATTTGAAATAAACTTGTTTTGTTGCCGTCACACTAATAGGCCTTATGGGATATCATAATTAATAGAATGTGTAAAATGAAAATTGAAAATGTGTATGTATCATGTTATTGACGGTATTGACTGCCTTGAATACTAATTAACTGTTTTCTATTGATATGCATTAGTTATATAATGAAGTATGCATGGTAAATGTAGTTAGCATCAGGATGTACAGGACAGGTATCTTATTTTGCTTTTTTTTTTTCTTATCATTTCTTATAACTTATCATTGACTTTGGACTGCCATATTAAGCAGATTGATTTTCGAGTTATTACTGTTAAAATTAATATGTTTAATTTTGTCTTGTTAACTTAAAGAAATTTATAGGTGCATCATTACCATTAACTTGAGTAAGGTTGATAGTACTATTTGATTCTTTGATTACTGAATTATTTCATTGTCATTTTGAATGATGAAATTGACGGATTATTAAATCTAGGTAACTATTACTGAATCTGGTGAAATATGAAAATAGATCAAGTCGGTTGCTCATAGTTTATAGGCATTCTTGATTTATCATTTTCTTGTCATGAAATTTGATTGCAATTTCGGTATAAAACTGTTACATCTGGTTTGTTGTAAGATTATTTTATTAATACCTGGGTTTTTAAGTAAATTTGAGGATTTGGTTTTGTAATCATTTATTATTAAGATATTGAATTGAGATTATAAAATTATTACATTTATAGATAATTTAGTTAAATCATAAGGATATTGTTATAAAACTGCCATTCATCATAGAAGATTAGATTTGATTTCATTTCTCAATTTTGGATTGTTAGATATTGATCAAGTCATTTAAGTTTTATGATTAGTAATGCTTATCAATATTATCTGAAAAGAAAAATAATAGTAATGAAAGGAGAGTGAAGCATGGCAATTGTTGTTTTCATACATGTGTACACACCTGACAAAACACGGCAAAATTTGTCAAAAAACGAAACTGCCCAAATTTTTCCAGTTATAAATGTATAGATAAGAAAAGTTTGATTTGAAATCTTTGTATATTAAAGTGTCTAAGAGATGTGTTTACCCTCAATCATTTGTGCAAACAAAGCTCCAAAGTGTACCACCCTTTAGGGATTAATGGTCATCAAATGAATGGTATAGTTATTATACGTAAGTTACTAACAAATTTTTAAAGGATATTCATTCCTTCATCATCATCATACCACCCCAGACAACTGGATTGGCGCGATCACCAGCATGGTTGTCATCGGCTTAGTGGGCCTTGCGTGCATCATGTTGATCCCAGCCCTGAAGAGGAGCCAGTACTATGATCAGGTGAACCACTTCCTCCTCGCCCTGGCTGTTGGTACCCTGGCTGGAGACGCCTTGATTCATCTTCTGCCGCATGTAAGTTGGAAGATGTTGATATCTCTCTTTCTCTCCCTCTCCTTCTCCTTTTCCACCTCCTCCTCCTCCTCCTCCTCCTTCCCATCCCTCCCCTCTCCTCTCCTCTCCCTCCTCTCCTCCCCCTCCCCCTCCCCCTCCCTCCCCTTCTCCTCCTCCTCCTCCCCCTTCCCTCCTCCTCCCCCTCCCTTCTCCTCCCCTCCCTTCTCCTCCTCCTCCCCCTCCCCCTCCCCCTTCTCCTCTCTCCTTCCCCTCCCTTCTCCTCCCCCTCCCCCTTTCTCCTCTCTCCCCTTACCCCCTCTCCCTCCCCTCCCCTCTAGGTTCATGTTTGATTATGTATATCAAAAATTTGATTATATCTAATTTTATGCAGAGATTTTCAGCCATAAAGATAAGAAAGATATTGAAAATATTTTTTATAATAATCAGAGACTTCATTAGGAGAAATGGTGTCACTTAATATTTATCATATATATCTTGGTAAATCACTTTTCAATATTTGTGTAATGAGATGTTTGATTTAGGCAAATGTTGTCATATATTTTGATGGTAAACTGATTTTCCATTTGGTTATTAAAGTTAATTGGTTCAGTCTCCATCTTGTTTCTTCTTTTGTTCTTTCTTCTTTCTCTTTTCTCTGTTGACTTTTTCCTTTAAAGAAACAAACATTTCTTTCAACTTTTCTTGATCATCTATTGTCCATTTGTTATTGTTGCTACTGTTGTTGTTGAGGATCTTTCTCCTCCTGCTCTCCTCCTCCTCCTCCTCCTCCTCCTCCTCCTCCTCTTCTCCTCTCTCCTCCTTTCTCCTCCTCTCTCCTTCTCCTCTCCTCCTCCTCCCTCCTCCTCCTCCTTCTCTCCTCCTCCTCCTCCTTCCCTCCTCCTCCTTCCTCCTCCCTCCTCCTCCTCCTCCTCCTCCTCCTCCCTCCTCCTCCTCTTCCTCCTTGTCTCTTCCTCCTCCTCCTTTTCCTCCTTCTCCCCCTTTTCCCTCTCCTCTTAATTCTTTCATAACGTCCACCACTATCTTCTGAATTAATTCAACCAATCAGCATAGTCTAAATATCATTATTATATGATTATGAGAGCATTATTAAATATCAAACATTATTACCCATTCTAACCCCAGGCCATCAGCATGGAAGCACCCGAGGTAGCAACCCTACCCTCTTGCATTCCTTCTACGGCTTCACTGCCCTTGGTGGCAATTGTCGATCTCTTCCTGTTCCTGGAGCGCTGTCACAACCTCTTCTGTGGACACGCCGGCCATGGCCATGGGCATAGTCATGGCTTGGGGGCTTGATCTCAGCAAGAGTAAGGTGAGTTGGTCGGGTGGCCTGGTAGGTAGAGGAGTGAAACTGATAGTTGAGGAGAATGAGCAAATGAGGGATGGACGGGAGATGAATAGGTGTGGTACGAGGGAAAGAAAGGGGATGGGAGAAGGAAGGAAGGAGTGAGGGAATGACTGTATGCAGAGGAGGAAAGGGTCAAGAGAAGACTGAGTGAGTGAGGGAGGAGGAAATAACTTAATTGTATTCATAATTAGTGAATTAATGAATCAGTGGTTGAGTGAGTGAGGGTGGGAGTGTGAAGCAGGTAGGAAGTCGGTGTATCTCAATTTATTTCAGTTGTACTGAACACTAGTCTTTATTTTTGTTGTAAAGGTTGTATGTATATATATAATTAATTTCTTTGAGTATTTGGTACACTATTTATTATATATTTGTTGCAATTAATTTCATATCATATGATGTATATGTAACTGTATTTTGTGTTAACCTCAGGAGGACATAGACAAAGAAACAGTTGGTACAACTACAACTCTTGAAGATTCGGCCACGTCAGATAACAGACAAGATTGGAGAGAAGTTATCAAAACATTCCAAACACAATTCCTTTATCTATGCAGAAAGTACCATGAGTAAGTTGTCTATTTTTGCTGTTATTATGTTAATAGATAGCTACTTGCCTCTCATTACAGATTGATTATCACTGTTTATAAATTTATTGTTAGTTTCTTTGTAATGAAACTGAAGGTAACAACAGCTACTTGTTCTTTATACTGTGTGAAAGACAACATATTGATTGTGAATATTTTGTAGTATGGTTTCATACTAATTGCAAAGAATTAGAAAATGTTTGTTTTTCAGATATTGTGATATGTTATTTTATTTCTTAAAGAAATATGAGATGCATTAGACTTTAGATAACTATTGTTTTTATCAAAGTAATAAAGAATATGAAAGATTTGTAAAGAATAATTTTGAAATCAACATTTGTAGAGAAAAAAAATATCTGAATTGATCATATGCACATAGTTTAAAGTGATACATACCACAGGTATTTCTTAAAGGTACTCCAACCTTTTTCCTCAATTTTCGCAGCACTAGAAGCCCAGAACTGTTTTGAGGGTTGCAGCTCAAATGTGAGTCCAAGTAGTGATGCCAATGGAAACAACGGTCCGAACAGAAGCCGATTCGGAGATGACCAACAGCCAACCCTTCCTGAGAAGCAGGGCCTGGTCTCATCAGGTGACAGGGATTCTGAGGTGGCATCCATTGACAAACACGTGGCAATGTGCGCAGAGAAGGAGAAGTTAGCTTGCAGTGCATCAGAAAAGGAGAGCCTGGTCACGACAACAGCTGATAAGTCAGAGATAGTGTGTATTTTTTACTTTTTTAAAAAAATGGAGGTTAGCTGTATTCTGTACTAAGATTGCTAAGCATTGGGGGTCTTTAGCAAGTTGGATAATGCTGAATGAACTCATCAGGTTTAGATCAAAATTACAATGTTACATTACTTGAGGAAATATCTCATAATAAATTCCAATACCACAAAAATTTTGGCTTTAGGCATTTGATGGAAAAGAGATATTTTGAGATAAGTTTAAATCTCTCTCCAGAAAAGGAATTTTTTGTCTTTTTTGATTTTTAAAGAGGAAAGTATATTATATTTAAATCTTTGTTTTATGCTATTTTTTGGTGAGGAATTAATCAAAGGACTTCCAGTTAATCTTAATTCCATTGCAGGGAAGAGAACTCTCCCTAATTCTGGACACCCCATCATCTGGGAGGCCAAAAGTCCTTCGACAAAAACAGCTCCAGCTTCAAACATGGTCTTACAGGAATACCATGTTGGCCATCATGGTCATTCTCACCATGGCCATTCTCATGTGACAGGTGAATGAGTGCTCTTGAATATTTTGTTTTCGTCCTTATATTTTGACAATACACTGAATTTAAATAGTAAATAAACTGTATTTGAGAGCTCATTGTTTGGTCTGATAAAAGGTAAGATTCAATTTTCAGGATTCTGAATTACATTTCTTGCTTTGAAGTATCATTCATTCTGAATCATAACTTTACATTTTTCTATATTCCTCCTTTTCCTCCAAATAGGTCGAAAAGATTCTCTCCGAGCTATGATCTTAGTAGGTGATGCAATGCACACGTTCCTAGATGGCATGGCAATTGGGGCAGCTTTCGGAACTAGTGTGACAGGGGCGTGGCAACCTCTATTGCAGTTTTATGCCATGAACTGCCACACAAAGTTGGTAAGTTAGATGTGTGTGTAAATTTGTGTGTTTGTATGTGTGCATGTGTATGTATATGTAGATGTGTGTAGTGTGTGTATGCAAATTTGAAGTTTAAAAAATAAATTCATGTAGTGAATATTTCTTGCATTGGAGTCATGGTATTCTTTTCATGAAGAATTCAATCACCTGAAAATTATTGAATGTATTATTTATTGTTTATTAAGGAATTCATAGAAAGTATGATCAGATCTTTAGAATAAATTCACTATAATACTGGGACCTGATCCTGAAAAGCCTTAAAGTTAAGGTGCGCTGGGGCCTCGACTGTCCTATGATAGCCTGTCATGGCCCGCCTATGGCGCCTTAACTCGGGCTTAGCTACGTATACACGAATGTTATTTCCAGCACTAGATCCCCGCCTTATGACCCTGCTCCCCCCAAATCATTATGGCATCAGATCTTCATTGGCTAATTATAGCTACTGTTTCAGGTGGCTCTTAGGGAATCTTGAGCAATCATAAGCTATAAATGCTAATCAGTGAGTTTGGTATGTGTCTAGCCCATGGCATAATGAAACTTTTTAACTAATAAGTTTTAGAATTAGTAACACAGAAGAAATATGTTAAATTCCTTATAGAATAGAGTGATCTTATTAACAGAATGCATGAGTAATTCAGAACAAAGTATTGTCTCCTTGAAAGCAAGACCTTGCTCGAATGGATGGCTTCTATTACAAGAGTAATATTAGCTTTGATTTTCATGCCAGTTACCAAGTTTAACAAATGATATTTGGAATAAGTTTTAAAGGCTTAACTTATATACACAATTATCTTTTTCTCTGAATCATGATGATGTCCAACCACCCAAAAACTATGTTAACGATAATGAAAATAATGACATTAACAGTAATAACAATAAAGACACATAAGTAAAGCCATTACGTCCAAAGTGAAGACAGTACTTATGCTAGTTTTAGTATAATACCTTGTCTACAGCTACAACATGGGTTTGAGTGAGATATATGCCTAATGGTAAAGGCAAATTACATAATATTGGAAATTAACACTTGCTGCCTTTTTTAGTTGTAGCTTACATCATGCACACATAATAGCAATATAACTGAGTAAAACACATAATATAAAGTTGTACTAATTGTTCTAAGGCTGCTCTCCCCTACCTTAATCTATGGCTCCTTGACTTTTACCAAATGGCGGGTCCCTTACTCTGAGTATGGGTCAGTGTAAGCAAAGGTGTCTTAAGGAGATACGGTGCTGTAACATATTTGAGTATCCAACCCTGATGTCAAAATAATTTGTCATACCTGTAAATCATTTGCATAGGAACCTACATTTTGCAGTAACTGGTTGTTGAAAAGAGTGGTAGTGTATCTCTCTTTACTTGATATTCCTCACTGATTGGATGGAAGTTAGTCTGTGTTTCTATTTCCCTGCTGGATAATACTTGATTCTTGAAATCAGTCAATATTCCATATAATCAGTATTCCCTACATACTTAAAATTCCTTATTTACTTAGTATCCCCTGTTTATTCAATATTAATCATTTCTGACTAGTACTAATTCCTTTAGTATTCCCTTTTTATTTAATACTCTATTTAATCACTCTTCCTATATTCAACATTCCTCATTTACTCAATAAATCCCAGTTGACTCACCATTCCCCAGTTATTCTCCACGTAATCAACTATTCTCCTTTTAACTAATATTCATTATTTACAAAAGAGTCCCCATTCACTCACTCTTCCCCCTATTTACTTACCATTCTAGGGGACTTCGCACTACTCTTTGAGATGGGAATGCACCTACAACAAGCGATAAAGATGATGGCCCTCCTGTGGGTGCTGAGTTTGGCTGGCCTTCTCTTAGGGGTTATGCTGGGTTCCATCCCAACTGCGTCGCCTTGGATCTATTCTTTCACGGCTGGAGTATTTATCTACCTGGCGCTTGTGGATCTGGTAGGTTTTAGTGTTTCTATTGTAATGATGGTAATAAATGATAATGATGATATTGGTAATGATAATGATAATGATATTACTGTTAATAATAATGATGATGATAATGTTAATGTCAATGATAATGATAATGTTAATATTAATGATAATATTAGAGTTGATATTAATGATGATATCAATATTGATATTGTTGATGATTATAATGCTAATATTATTGATAATGATAATGATGATGATAGTAATTATGATAGTAATAAATGATACTGATGATGGCCTAAGTACTTCTGAGCCTAGTATTTTTGAATTGTTAGATTTTAAGCTATATAGCAGTTTTAATTAGTTATTCAGTGAGCAGAGTTTGTATTCATGTGTTACATATTCATGTTGTTTATTATATACTTAAAAGAACTAGATAAAAGTTTTATCACCATTACATGGAATTTTCAGTAAGAGAAGATTGCAAAACAAATATCTTCGTAATATTTGACACTTTTGCTTAGATATCTCACATCTTGCACTCATATTCCTAAACATAATAAAGTTAACAAAAACATGATTCTATTGTGGTAACTTTACTGAAATATATTTTAGATACAGAAAGCTTGCGTGAATAGCTACATGTGCCTCTCAGTAATATGTAGACCAAAAAGATGCTAGTTTGACTGTTGATTAATTTGTTGTGTTAGTATTATTTGACTGAATTATATGAATGAGAGAGAATTTGTTCTGTAGAAAGTGTATGTGCCACCAGTGCTGGACAACAAGTGGACAGGGTCCCAAGTAGCCAAGTACGCCATTAAAAAGGGCTGTTCTAAACCTTAGTTTTTCACCGAGACATCATCATGGAAGCTAGTGGTGTATTCTCTGACCATGCTTTAAATTCCCAGTTCTTTTATCGATTTCAGCATCATGGCAAGTGATATAGTGTTATGTATATTGTTTGGTTTAAAGTAAAGTGGGTCAAGAAGGGAGAGCTTACTGGTCATTGTTAACCAGGCCCCATGGATCATAAAAGTGGCCCTACTCAGATCCATTTTTATTTTTTAATGTATATAATACTTCACTTTATTATAGAGTAGCTGGGAGTCGTGATGTTCTGTCTCCCTTTTTTCTCAGTAAATCCTAGATGCCTTTTGCTTATCATTGATGACGGAATTTATTGAAATGTATGCCTTTTATTCATCTGTTTTCCCTTTGGTTGCATACCCAAGAGACAAGAGACAGAGTGAGAGTGAGTGTGAGACTGAGATTGAATATGAGAGTGAGACTGGAGATGAGACTGAATATGAGACTGAGACTGACAGTGTGAGAGAGTGAGTGAGAGAGTGAGAGAGAGAGTGAGAGAGAGAGTGGAGAGAGAGTGAGAGAGAGAGTGAGAGAGAGAGTGAGTGAGGAGAGAGTGAGAGAGAGAGAGAGAGAGAGAGTGAGAGAGAGAGAGATGTGAGAGGAGAGAGTGAGAGAGAGAGTGAGTGAGAGAGAGAGTGAGTGAGAGAGTGTGAGTGGAGTGACGAGTGAGGAGTGAGTGAGTGAGTGAGTGAGTGATGAGTGAGTGAGTGAGTGAGTGAGTGAGTGAGTGGAGTGAGTGAGTGAGAGAGGAGAGAGTGGAGAGTGAGTGAGAGGTGAGTGAGTGAGGTGAGTGAGTGAGTGAGTGAGTGAGTGAGTGAGTGAGTGGGAGTGAGTGGAGTGAGAGAGTGGTGAGTGAGTGAGTGAGTGAGTGAGTGAGGTGAGTGAGTGGTGAGTGAGTGAGTGAGTGAGTTGAGTGAGTGAGTGAGTGAGTGAGTGAGTGTGAGTGAGTGAGTGAGGTGAGTGAGTGAGTGAGTGAGTGAGTAGTGAGTGATAGTGAGTGAGTGAGTGAGCTAGTGTATGTATGTATGTGTGGTGTGTGTGTGTGTGTGTGTGTGTGTGTGTGTGTGGGTGTGGTGTGTGTGTGTGTGTGTGTGTTGTGTGTGTGTGTGTGTGTGTGTGGCGCGCGCGACGCGTACATGCATGAGTTTTGCACATGTAAAACACACACACACACACAACACCACACACACACACACACACACACACACACAACACACACACACACACACACACACACACACACACACACACACACACCACACACACACACCACACACACTCACACACTCACACACTCACACACACTCACACACACTCACGCATACAAAATTATGTATTATATTGTCTTATTCTTTTTTTCTTTGTCCAGCTTTCAGAGTTATCATGCAGAGAGGGAGAGTTTGGTGTGCAGGCCAATTGCTCCTCCAAGGACTAGGCATGCTCACAGGTGCCGTCATCATGCTTATCATCGCCATCTACGAGCATGACTTGGAGGACCTTCTCAGGGGCTCCTTCTAAAGGCACACTGCAATTATGCAGCTAGTGTGGTGCATAGACATCACATGATGCATCTTCCACAAAGTTTTTTGGATAAGAAAGGAAAAGGTCTTACTTTTTGTTCTTTGCTTTTATGCGTGGTTGTACTGGCATTGGCAATGTGCTTGTGAGGTGTGATATTTATTAATTGACTCACAGCGTTCAGATCGATGTCTGGTGTGGTGAAGTTTGCGTGGAGATTGTCTAAGCTTTCAAACATGACAATAGTAAGTGTACAATAAACACTAAACAAAAAGAAGGATAAAGGTTGTATTTCTTTAATGACTTAAGAATTACCAGATAAGGAATTTTTTAAAGATACTATTGTGATATAAACCCAGTGACTGCACAAAACTAAACCCACATAAAGTGAGCCTAGCAAAAACTCATCTTGACTAATTCCAGTGAGGAAACTATGTTGGATCCAAGGCTTTCAAGTCAGAATCCAAACAGCTGGCAGATGCAAAA